AAATTAACTCTTGACTTGTTTGCCCCTGAGTTTAAAGCCTGGTTCACACGGCAAGATAATTAGACCGTTTTTGGACCTGATTAACCCCTAACGACAATCTTGAGAACGCTCCGATTATCGTTAAAAAATCTGATGGATTTTCCTGCCATGTGTGGTGTGTTAAGACCCCGCTCGTCGCTCGCAAGGACTTCGGGACTGCTCCGATCTCAAATCGGGGATATCCAGCATGTTGGATTGATTTGGCCCGATTTCTCTTCATGTGTGTGGTTTGGGTGATTTTGCCGTGCAGCTGCACACCACACACTGTACGACCAAGGTGGTTTGACCCTTGATTTTTTATCTACGTGTGAGGGGTCTCTCAGGTTAGGAAAATCGGCCGACAATTTTAAAATCGTCTCGTGTGAACCAGGCTTTAGTCATATCTTTGGGAAAACCAGATGATAACTAGCAGCTAAAGTCTAATGTAAGACTAATGCTTTTGTACATTGTGTCCTTGAACATATAACATTGTTGCTAAAATGATGAAATTATCGACAGCTTTTCTTTGGACACGATCCATCCAGTATCTGACGTACCAGTTCAGCTCGGCCTGTCATGTGCACTTCTGATGAAAAAGTCACAAAAGGAGTTCTTGCCTTCGTTTTTCCTCGTCGATGCTGGACCAAAGCCGTATCTTTATGCACATTGTACAGAGAAATAGATTCACGATATTGACAATCTTTAAATAACCGGAGAAAGGAAAAAGAATCGACGGAGCGCTAAAGTTATGTACAGTTCAGTGGATCCCAGGCATTACCTCATCGGTCGCCATAGTAACAGCAGTGTCACTCACCGTAAGTGTTCACCATTTATATTTATTTATTTATTTAATGAATGTGAATGTTATTTTTTTTTGTTTCTTTTGTGTATTTTGTGCTTATTTATTTTTATTTTTGATGTGGCCTCTGCTGCAATCTTCACTCCCGAGTTTACACCGGCCACAGCGCTGCGCCGAGGCCGAAAAGCACGCAATGTTGTGAAATATTAGTACATTTGTTGTTTTGTACGAAAAAAAATACAAAAAATGTTTCCACTAAATTCCAACGACTCGAAACCAAAGCTGAAGAAGCCCGCAGAGGTTCGTTTTCTTTTTTTACGGACTCAAACTAATCTATAGAGCAATATGTTTGGTCAGTTTTGCCGCACTCTGTATTTCTACGTCTGTCACATTGATTTGTTTCATAATTAGTAATAAACAATTGTTTGACATGAGCCGCCGCGTCCTCTTTGTCTTTTATGAAGAAAAACGGAAAAATCTGTCGCTGTCTCTGGGTCCAGGGGTGACTTTTATTCTCCAATCCACCATTATGTTTTTGTTTGTTTTTTGTTTTCATTCTTTTGAGCAGAATTATTGATATTAATTAGTAGTTAACAATACTGACAATGCTTTGTAATGACATCTGTATGGAGATGTTTTTACATGATTCACTTATTTGCCTCCTGCATAAAGAGTATAATACACACTTAAACACACACCTACATACTTATACACACACACTTAAACACACACGTACATACTTATACACACACACCTACATACTTATACACACACACACACTTAAACACATACTTACTTATACACACCCACTTAAACACACACGTACATACTTATACACACACACCTACATACTTATACACACACACACTTAAACACACACCTACACACTTATACACACACACTTAAACACACACGTACATACTTATACACACACACCTACATACTTATACACACACACACTTAAACACACACATACATACTTATACACACACACACTTAAACACATACATACATACTTATACACACACACTTAAACACACACGTACATACTTATACACACACCTACATACTTATACACACACACTTAAACACACACCTACATACTTATACACACACATACTTACTTATACACACATACATACAGTACATACAAGCCTTATTTAAAAATGTCACTGTTTCTCAATTATTTCAACATATTTACAACTGTAATTACACATTTTCAGCTCGGAATGAAGAGGGATGAAGAAAAACGGATCAACTCTCACCACATGAACATCTTTTATTCTGAAGTACACATTTAAATTGTCTAAAGAATATTTTACACATTTCCCAAAGTGCAGCAGAGATAGAAAAGAACATTAAATATGACGTGAGTCTGAAACACATGAAATCAAAC